TTTTTTCATTATTTTCACAATGAATATGCCAACACGATAAAAATGAACATTTCACTAAAATGTATAACTTCCAGAAAAAGAAGCCAATTAGACTGCTTTTCCTATCCAGGCTGCATTTTAGTCCTGTGTTTCCTTTTTGAAAGTTTGACAATCATACGTAACATGGTTTTCCCATAATGGTCATCATGGCAGCATCACCCAAAATTGTTTTCTTCTATTCTGATGCAATATTACGTAATGCTTAACAGCATAATGACCATCAATTTTTAATAATAAAATATACATATCATGGATTTTCAGAAAATGTGACTAACATGGGTCTTATGGCCTGTGGAGGTTTTAAGTCACACCTTGAAAATGCCAATATGTGAAAAATTAAAAATTCACAAAGAACTGTTTAACTGCCAGAAAAATTTACCAAACAGACCGCATTGCCTACTGAAGCTGTATTTTAGTCCCATGTTTCTTTCCTGTAAGTTTGAGAAAAGTAAGTGACACATTGGTTTTCCTTAAATGGTCATCATGGGAGCAGTGCCCAAAATAGGGGTTTCTTCAAATTTTGATGCAATGTTACATAGTGTTTAACAGCATAATGACCATCAATTTTTAATAATAAAATGTTAGTATCATGGATATACAAAAATGTGACTAGCAAAGGTCTTCAGGCCCATGGAACTTCAAAGTCACACCTTGAAAATGCCAAAATGTAAGCAAAACAGCACTGTTCTGAAATGTTTTTTTTCCATTTTTAAATTTTTTAACATTAAACAAAATTAACAGTTTACTGCCATTTTTATATGATCAACTAAGAAAATTGATGAGATTGGAAAAATATTAATACAACAGTGTTAAATGTCCAATTTCCTCCATTCTGAGATTCTGAACATAGTGAATGATTGAATCTGACAAACTGCAATGATATGAGTTTATTTCCATTTTTGAAACTTAATTACACAATACACGATAACAAGCTCACCATCATTTTTACATAATCAACTAAAAATGTTGTAAAGATGCAGGAAATATCAAACAAACACTTTTACGTAACTTATTAGTTAAATGATGAGACTGTTAACATGCCTAAGAATTGAATCTGAAGAAATGTGAAAAAACAGCATAACTACTAAAATAGTGGCCCGATCATGCCGATTTTCGAACTTGACCTGCGTTTTAGTAAGATTGATTACTCCTGTGAGTTTCATGACAACAGGCCTATCGGTTTTCCTTCAAATGTGTTTACAGCGTTGTAAATATTTAGAAAAGTGAAAAAACAGCATAACTTCAACAATAATGGCCCGATCGTGCTGATTTTCGAACTTGAATATTCATCAGCTCTGTAAATATAAAACTAAAAAGTAAAACTGTCTTGCACTTATCATGTTAACGCTGAAAGTGCACGGCGACGGCGACGACAGACGCAGGTGATGGCAATATGTACAGACACATCTGTTTCTGTACATAAAAATAGACCTGAATTGAGAGCGTTGGCAACGGCGAAGAGCAGTTTTGCTGGTCTGCACATCCCGCACTTTACTATAATTTTGATCTGATTCGTTTCTTTTATGATGATTTAGCTAGGACAAACAGTGAACTGATGTACAACTTCAATCATTGGATTTGGCTCTCCCCCCCCCCCTTCGCGCCTGTGTGTGTGTGTGTGTGTGTGTGTGTGTGTTTAGTGTATGTGTAGGGGAGGGTGTATGTCGTTTTCACGTAGTCCTGTCATACACTGACAAGGTACCGACATTATTTTAAAAATTGATTGTAACTTAACGCGTAAGTCGTGGATGTGTATATTCTATATTCAATTTCATATGCTTAAATCTTTATTTGTCTTTCAGATTCCATTTTTAATTTCAAATTATTCTGCCTTTATTCTTTTCTTTAATTTTTGTTGTATTAATTTTAAAAAAGTATTTTTTTAAATTTTTAGGTAACAATTGCTTTGTTATAGATAGCCTCATCCAGATTTGTTTATGACTCTCTAAATTAGTGACAATACTGCCAACAAGAACCCGTTCTCTAGTGCGATGTTGCCTAAGGACTCCTATTTACGGTTTTGATATGCACTGTATGAACTTGGCGCTTCCGACTGCGACTTGAAGTATGATGGTGATGAAGACGTACGTGCCGAGATTTAACGTACATGTACATTCGAAATGATATTAGATAAAAGAATCTCCAGCTTTACTTTCAGTTTATTTTCCATGAAAGTTGTTTGATGTCTTCTTGATTCATGTGGCGATATATGTTTGCAATGTCTACTTTATGTCGGAGTGGCAACAGCAGCAGCTCACTATTCACTGCCAGAGACTTCCTGCTTGGCTTGCTTGTATCTGTAATCAAAATTACTGTACAAGCTTAAAGCGCAGATAATTGATAGCTATGTACAGTAATAGTAGTTAAAAATGAAAACGATAGAAAAAAGCTGTCTTGCGCCCTTAAAGCTCGCATCAAGAACCAGCACAGACAAACAAGTCACCATTTTAAAAGGGACACACGCGACACAAGTCAAAGACGGATTGTCGAAAAGAAGCTCATAAAAATATTAGACAGTTTAAAAAAGGACTTAATAGAGACAGATTAATGAATATCTCAACGAATATTATTCTTGTTTTATTGTTACGCAATCTTCAAGACGTCAACGTTTATCACTCACTTCCAACTTCGTCCCTTTTCCATGCATCATACGTCACTTATACCAGTAGTTTGCTTGTTTATTCTTGTTTTGGTACCTGAAGAAGGTTCACGAGCCAAAGGCTCGGGCTTTTTTTTATCTTTAGGAGTTGATCTTTACAGATAAGCGTTTTCAATATATATTTTTTTCGTAAAGATACGGAAGATGCAGTCGAATGAAAAAATTGTAGTTTTATTTATCAGTCATGACAGTTAATTGTCATAAAAGGGGTCTGTTATCTGATTCTGGTCCAAGGATCAACAGGTTGAATTCGGCCAGTGACAACCGGAGAGAGAGAGAGAGAGATAGTACACTCTAACACAGTCACAGATGGAGTTTTCACTATATATTTACAGATATGTCTAAAATGTAAGGATGTTTTTAATAATTTTTAAAAGAAAGACTCCTGTTTATGGTTTGAACGCAAAGGACGATCGCATTTGTTACGTTATGTAAAAGCAATATTGGCGACAGCTATCATCTGAGTCCTCAAGGGAGTCGAAGACTCGAACTCCCAACACGGAGGTATACTTTGTGTAGATTAGTGATAATATATCATTTTGTCTCTCTCCCTCTTTCTTAGTGAGTCTTTCGATGCACACGGAAATTGTTGCATAAGTTAGCTCAGCACCTGTGATAATCATATGTAAAACACGAAATACGGACTCAATTTTAAACCTTCGTTACTGTCGCTCGCAACACCATCTCACATTCGCCCATAAGATTATTTTCAATAAAGTAAAAAATTAAGAACTTGTTAGAAAGCAAGTATAATGTCTAACATCTCAGAAAATGTTTAGAATGTTTTAATGTTTAAATAACGCAATTAATAACTTGCAGCTATTTTCGCGGTGTCGCCCGGCTTTTAAAAGCTGAGAAATCCTACATGGCGTATTTTGCTGCAGATTATTTCAATTAAAATTTTACTTGTTTGATGCTTTTGAAATATTTAAGTCATTAATAAAAACTTCATTTTAGTTAAGACAATGACTGAAGGCCCCATTGGGTATTTTCCTTTCCCGTGAAAGCCACTTATCATTTCCCAAGATGCTCGCAACTTTCTATGTTATTAATAAGAGTCATCCGTGAAGCGCCCCATTCCCTTGAATCGAGAATTGCGCGTTTTTATCCTTCGTCCTGAGTGAAACGAAGTCATTATACTCGGTGATAGATATTTCAGCTTGCTGGACTCGCATTTTTAATGAGATATAGACAAAGTTTTAATTTAATTTATGTAATTTGTGATTTGATGATTTTTATTTTCCGCGGCCGTGAACTGTGATCACTAGACTGTACATGTACCCCCCCTTCCCAGCGAGCCCTCATGATTAGCTAGACGATATGTTGACAGGGCACAGTCAAATGGTTTACACGAAACACGTCAAAGCTGCATTTCTCTTGTGAAGCCATTATGAAAGCCTTCGTTACCAGGCATTGTGAAACTATACTTGGAATTGAAGAAAAAATGTAGACCTTTTGAAAAAATAAACGCGCATATCTCATATTAGCCTTCCAGAGCAGTCTATAAAAGTAAAGTACAGGTAGGCCCCTACTAGTAGCTTTGCTGGAAATATAGGCAAAAAATAACTTTAGAGTATTTTCAAGTACGTTTAGTATATTTTTTAAGGTAATTATACTCTAAATGTGAAGGTCCTTCAGGCCCGTAGCCAGCAATTTCAGAGGGGGGTCGTTTTCTGAAAAAGTGGACCTTTTACCACAAACAATTCTCATGTACATAGATCAAATTTTACCAAGAGTGGACCTTTTCCCAGCAAAAAGGGTGGTTCTTTCGAACCCCCCGAACCCCCCCTGGCTACGGGCCTGTCCTTAAATGCTCCATTTGCTCATAACTTAAAATTGAGCGTTGTGCTACCAGTGCTGAGATCCAGCATTTAGTCGAAGCAAAAAGAAAATATATAATAATAACAATAGAAAAAGGCATGATTTAAAATTACCTTTAAGGTAATGATTATATTGTCAATCAATAATAAAAAATATCATATCCAAATGAAAAAAAATAAAAAAATAAATAAATAAATAACTTGGAACAACGGCGCGCTTCATGTGACCGGATGTACCGTGATGTGACCCAGTATTCACTGCGGGTTTTCTTTGACCTACTTAGTCGGGCTTAGTACGGCGGAGCGGGAACATTTTATACGTTATGAAATAACGTTATACCTAGGCCAAGATATAGTTACGAGTTACCATACACGTTTTATCTGAAGCAGTGGGACATTCCACGATTCCAGCATCCTTTTAAATGCATACAAACACATTCTTGATGACAGAAGGGTGAGTACTTTGTTGTAGTGATCTGGTACCGGAAGTCTTGGGATTGAAAGCGACAGTTGGGCGGGGTTTTCAAGAGAGAGAGAGAGAGAGAGAGAGAGAGAGAGAGAGAGAGAGAGAGAGAGAGGGGGCTGCAGAGACAAAAGGTAGAGGGTAGACAAAGGAATCTTGTGATCCTAGTGTTATAAGTGTTATACAGTAGATCTGGATTCCTGGAAACATCTGAGGTAAAACCTAAAAAGTACTAGCAGAGTTAATTAAGTAGCAATAAGGTTTCTATGATGTAGTATGTTGTACTTGTCTTAGAGCTACTATAAAAGTTATTTGTGGGGATTTTTGCAGTGTTCACTTCGTCCTTCATATCTTTATAACTCTCTATTAAACCATAGCCCTCCAACTGGAGTGCAGTAATGGCTTTGCAATGTTAAGAACTCGTACATTTTGTAGCCATGTATAGCAACACGTTACAGTATTACAATTGGGCTTCACCATTCTCAAATATACTAGTGTTGTGTCTCATATGTTGAGATATGCTGGAATGCTAAAGATGTAAAATTACAACAAATATCCTTCAAAATTTCATTTAGAATGCCAAGCTAAATTGGTAAGAATGCATGTTTCTGCTTTTCATTTATTGGTTACTCAACATACAACCCAAATGAACCCATTTCTTTTCAGTACCTGTATATAGGTGATCTAAGACATCCATGTGTGTACATACAACCAATCGTGACCACTTTCAGTGACTATCCCAGCATTTTTTCAATGACACTGATGTACAGTATGTCATTGGTTATTTTAAGTTTGATTTTTTTTACATGAAGTCATGGCAAACCATCAGATGCATATTAGCAATTTTTTGAAAGTACAAATAACTGTGAATATGTGGAAGCTGCCAAGTTTGACTTTGCCCAGGACCACTGCCAGTTTAGAAATGATGGGAATGCGAACAAACCACCCTTTTTGCCGGGGAAAAGGTTCCCTCTTGGGAAATTTTTATTTAGGTACACAATGGTTTTATGGTAAAAGGTCCACTTTTTTTAGAAAAAAAAAACTTTTGAAATTGCTGGCTATAGGTCTGTTGAATGTTTATAATGAATGTTTTTCTTTTTATTCAGCTCACACAAACAGTTTACATAACTGTTGGTGTACAGTGTCATGTGTCTCTGTAGTGGCCTGCTTGATGTGGTCAGTTTGGGATGATGTTATATCTAATACATGGCTGTCGATTGGTCGCGTCTTGACCGAGGCCACCACCTGGTGGATGAGATGGTAATGGGAACAAGTATGAAAGAAGCACATGGTGAGTGAGATCCACGGCACCCTGCAGGGGCGGATCCAGAGCTATATACTGACAGTCTTCCAAATTATCTTTGTTGATTCATCCTCCAATTTTGACCGTCTTCCAACATTAAAAATTGGATACCCGTCAATGTAAACTTGAAAATCTGACCGTCTTCTGGAAGACCCAGAAGACGGCCTAAATCCGCCCCTGCCCTGTCATAACATTGGCGAAGAGGATAAGCAAGAAATACTAACATGGCACAGGGAGAACCGCACAGGGTTTAAAGATGCATACAAAGTCAAATTTTTGTCACAAAAACCAACTAAATGCCAGTATATAGTTTCAAGTAGTATAACTAAGAGAAGTACCAAAAGGCATTGTTTAATTTTACCCGAAAATGATGTTTGAACGGATTTTTCTGCTGGCATTTTAAGCTGTATGTCAATGGGGCAGGAAAGTAGGTCACGAAAGTAGGTTAAATTTACAACCAAAAATTTAAAGAAAGGAGCAGTCTAAAGGTCTTTTATGGCTGATCGAGTGATCTATTCAGTTTATCCCTTGGCATGTCGAATTTATTTGAGTCATATAAGAATCTAGTAGAAGTGGTTTACATGTGTTACTGGGAATCCACGCTCCACCGATGCTCGGTTCGTATGTACCTTTAACAAAGCACAAGCAGATTACCACCGAGAATAGAGTCCTGAATGGATGATGGACTTATAAGATGTTGACTATGAAGTGGTATATGAGCCAGGAAAGAATGATGCAGACTCTATTGATTGTCTCTCCAGACACCCATGGCCACAAACGGTGGTGATAGTACAGAGAGGAGGATCAGATGGATGGTAAAATCTGAAAATGCAGTGATTCTTGATGAGATAGCTTAGGAAACCCTCACTGACCCAACACTAATCAAACTTGGAGAGAGAATCTCAGCAGGAGATTGGAATCTATATAGTAAAGATGAGGACATCGAACCATACTTGCACATGAGAGAAGAATTAAGTATATTTGAAGGACTCATTTACAGAATCGCTGTCCTGAAAAAAATAGTAATCTGAGATAATTTGTATGTAATCAGGATGAAGGCGGATCGCTGTCTTAAAAAAAGTAATCTGAGCATAATTTATATATATTTAATCAGGATGAAGGCGAATCGCTGTCCTGAAAAAAAAAGTAATCTGAGATAATTTATATTTAATCAGGATGAAGGCAGATTGCTGTCCTGAAAATAAAGTAATCTGATATAATTTATATTTAATCAGGATGAAGGCGGATTGCTGCCCTGAAAAAAAAGTAATCTGAGATAATTTATATTTAATCAGGATGAAGGCGGATTGCTGTCCTGAAAAAATAGTAATCTGAGATAATTTGTATGTGATCAGGATGAAGGCGGATCGCTGTCCTAGAAAAAAGTTATCTGAGATAATTTCTATGTAATCAGGATGAAGGTGGATCGCTGTCCTAAAAAAAATAATCTGAGATAATTTCTATGTAATCAGGATGAAGGTGGATTGCTTGACTGGGGCCACCACCTGGTGGATGACGTGGTTATGGGAACGAGTATGAAAGAAGCACATAGCAAGTGAGACCCACGACTTCTATAACAGATGATATGTATTTGACCCAAGGTGGAGCAGTGGTCATAACCCACCCTCACCCATCACCATGCCAAAAATGCTTCCTTGCAGGTAGTGCACAAAATTATTGCTTGGTTTTGTTTTAGTAGTTGTGTTATAATAGTCTTTTATACTTCCCGTGAAGATCAACAAACCAGTTATCATATTTTGTGCTTCCTTCCAATTTAAATAAATTTTTTCACTTCTCTTATGTTACTCCTCACAAAATGTACTTCTACAAGGCACATTCAACTGATATACTTATCCAAGATTATTACAGGCATTGTTTATAGGCAATTTATGAGCAAATTTCTCAAAAATCCCAGATGATTTGGCAGAGTTCTGTTTATTTAACTTTGGTCAGTTTAAGATTGTGACAGTTGTACCAGTCACAATTGTGCCCAGCAGCCTCCAAAATACATCTTAAACTTGTCCCTGTTCAGTCACCATAACTGTGATGTCTGTCATATTTGGTGGACATTAGGCAGAATATTTTTGGTTAAATATTCTGCTGGCTCTTGTGGACTGTCAGGGTTTTGTCTTTTTATTAAGATAATTTATATCACTTAATTCATTCATATAATCTTTTGTCTCTTTTTTTCTAGCTCCAGTCTCCATACAGCATGGTGTCTTCTAGGTGAACAGACTTTACCTGGCTGGACATGGGGGACATTCATTGTTAATATAAAATAGACAGGAAATAACAGCTGCAGGAATATCCCTTCATCCACAGAGTTGTGCAAGACACAGCAAGTTTCAGGATGAATGGGTTGTGAAGAGCCAGAGACAGGACAGCCATGGTAAACAGGGAACTGGACTTCTTGCAGGTTGTACACAAAATGAACAGTTAGTTGTTTCCTCTGTAGAGACAAAAACACCAATTATCACAATTTTTTGATTAATTGGTTTTCAATGTGACTTGAAAAGCATGGATAGCTAAAATAATCCACACTTGTCTATTTAAAACAAACTTTAAATATTAGTGTGCATTGTAGCTTTATAGTCATTAATGGCATTTTTGATCTACACCTCTCATTTGTTAACAATGCATTTGTTCAATTTAAATCATTAAAGTTATATGCATAAAATGAATACTATTAAAACATTGTTCATGTGCATTTCACTCTTCAAATATAGTGGCTGAAGGAAATGTTCCTTTGTTGGCTGAAGTTATAAGCTTCTGATCATCAGTGGTCAAGAGGTTGAATGCCTTGTTTAATGAATGTTTATCTTTTTTCTAGTTCATGTGTGCATGGTTTGACAGTTGTTGTACATTGTGAAGCGTCTTCATAGTGGCCTGTTTGATGTGGTCAGTATGAGATGAAATGTATTGGACCCAAAGTGGAGAAGTGGTCAATACTTCCCTGGGATGACCCATTGCCATCACAGTAACTGGACTGCTTGCAGGTGCTACACTAAACTAATGGTTGATATTGTTTTACAAGTCATGTGACAATAGATAATTGATCTCCTTATCTTCCTCTGTAGAGAAAGAAACCAGTTATCATATTTTTGTTTCCTTTAAGTAAGATAATTTTGTCATGATTTAGAATTTTTATTAGTAATTTCCTTAGTGGCTCCTCTCAAATTACTCCTCAAAAATATCTTTCAATTAGTCACAGCCAATTGATATAATTATCCCAGATTTTTACAGGTGTTAAGCATTTTGTGTGCAAATTTCACAATAATTCCAACATATTCGGCAGAGTTCTGTTTATTTAACTGTCTCAGTCTGAGAATGTGCTGGTTTGACAGTCACAATTGTGTCCAGCAGCCTCCAAAAGGCAAGGTCATTTTTAACTTATCACAGTGCAATCACCACAATACTGATGTTTACCATATAAGATGGGCACTTGGCAGTTTACCATAGTTTTAATATTTTCCTAACTGGCTCTGGTGGACTGTCAGGTTTTTGTCTTTTCTTTGTATTAAGATAAATTTCACTTATACATTGTCATGTCTCTTTTTCCAGCTCCAGTCTCCATGCAGTTTGTCTTCTAGGTGAACTAACCTTACCTGGCTGAACATGGAGGGAATGTATTTTATAAGAAGCAGACATAAAAAGGCAGCAACAGGAACATCTTCATCTCACCCATTTGTGCAAGACACAGGATGTGGCAAGTTTTAGGATGAATGAACAGCCAGAGACAGGACAGCCATTTATATGGAACAGTACAATTGTACAACAAATGTGGGTTCCAGGTAACACAAAGAATCCATTTCCCCCATATGCATGGAAACTATAGAGGCAGGGTATATAAAGCAAGGAGATTGTGTTAGACAATACTCTATCACTGAAGACAAATAGACACAATGGAAATGTTTAAAAGTGAATTGCTATTTCAGCTCAGTTGTGATGTGTTTTAATAATTTCCCCATATGCATGGAAATCGTTACAGTACTAGTAGAGGTAGCATATACAGTAAGATTGTGGTAGACAATAAGCCATCACTGAACAGAAAAAGATGTCATTGAAAATGTGTTAATGTGTATGCACATATTTCAGTGCAGATATGATCTCTGTTATTGTGAGGACATTAAGTTGCAATTGCAAGTTTTATGACATATTTATTATATACAGACACTTTCAGTCTGTCTATATTCTGATCACTGTCTGTCCAGTGTCATTGCCATAGTCAGCACTTTGTGACACATCTGTTGTTTACCCTTTAACTGATAAACTGTATTTTTGTTTTAACTTTAATTCCTCTAGAAAATCAGCATGATTAGATTTTTTTATATTGTTTTGTTATCTTTAGCAGTTTGGATAAGATACTACAGTATGTCCTGAGTGTATCAAATTGAAGAAGAAAATGTAGATATGTTTGTGTATTTTTGTCTTACTTTGTTTCTGATATTTATTTTGATTACTAAATAGTATTTTTGTGAATTTATGAAATTTTTGTAAGTTCATTGTTAAATGGTGAATGACAGCAGTCAGAAGGTTCACTGGTCTGATAGTTTGATGATGCCAACATCCAATGGTTCAAAAGGTTCAGTAGTCAGAAGGTTCATTGGTCTGATAGTTTGGTGATCCAAATGTCCAGCTGTTCCAAAGGTTTGCTAGTCTAAAGGTTCACTTGCCTGAGGTTTCATTGGTTCAATGGTTGTAAAGTCTGAGAATAAGAATTGTGTATGGTGTAATATGATGAGGGCTTTTATGATTTTAATAGTATACATCGACCTGGGTGGATAAAATGACAATATAAATGCAATTTTAAATGAGTATGTTATTAACCAATTACAATTACTAAAGACAATTGTTTAACCCAAGTTACTGTTACTACAACTCAATTGCCCAGAGGTGCAGCACTGTCTTTTAGTTCACTTCTAGCTAAAGGAAAGAAGAGAAACTTAGCCAATGCAATGAGGGTTTCTTCTTCTTGGAAATTAATAATGATAGCAAACTTTTCATCAGTTGTTCTGAGGTCAAAATGGAGTTTCAGAAAGGAGTTTCATGATAACTGTACTCCATGAAAGGTTATCATCTTTAAGATTTGACAAGCTTTTTGTTGAGAGTAATTTGTAATAGTGAAATTCATCTAGGTATGCTTGTTTAAGTAGGTTGTTATCATCCAAGCATAATATTTTAAGTGAAAATTTTATTGATTGTATTTTAATCTTTATGTGAGCAGGATTTCTTCCAGTCTCTCATCTTACTGCATGGTCTTNATAGTTTGATGATGTCAAGATCCAATGGTTTAAAAGGTTCAATAGTCAGAAAGTTCATTGGTCTGATAGTTTGATGATGCCAAGATCCAATGGTTTAAAAGGTTCAATAGTCAGAAAGTTCATTGGTCTGATAGTTTGATGATGTCCCAGCTGTTCCAAAGGTTTGCTAGTCAGAAGGTTGATTAAACTAAACTTCTAAACAAAATAAGGATGAAAAGAAATTACAAGCACTGAAAATATCAAACAAAATAACTTAAAGACAGTCTCAGCACGTTAAACTCTTAAAATAGCACGAAAATGAATTTTCCTGAAAATCTCACCAATTTCCCCATAATGACCAAGGTATATCCTATCCAAAACCGTTCAGAAAATGAAGCTACCTAATACTGTTTTTAAGTTCCATTAAATAATAAAAGACGACTCGTCTTAAATACTCAGCTACCACCTCACAGTACGGCTTCAGAACGCGCAATTTCTCGCTAAGTCTCGCGGTTTACTATGAATGAAATACTACGGCTGAGACCCGGATGTTACTATTTGGCGCCAAAACAACAAACATGGAGACGCGCGTCAAGTCTGAAGAGGAGAGCGACAAAAGGGGACGAAAGAAAATAGCCACTCTAGTTCGAAAGATACGAAAGAAAATTAGAGACAGACGAAGCACTCAGACTGTGTATGTTGGGAGGGAGGTGGGGCGGTGGAGGACACTTAAAGCTGAGTTAGGACTCACATACGAGGCAATGGCGAAACTACTTCTCGATACGTGAGTATGCGCTTCACAGGTCTCAAGTGTGTCTGATTATCATATTATCCTGTTCACAATAAATGACAATATTTGTGCTCATACAAAGTTGGTTACGTGTATAAGAGCGTTTTGGGCTGTACCGAAAAGATGGACAGGCGGCACTTACATGTCTGACAAGTTTCGCTCTGTAGTCGTGACGTCTATCTCATTCTGACTGAAGCCTGCTGTGATTGGTCGTAAGCGTGGGAAAATCGAGGTCGTGACCTTGAGCCAAGTACTTCCGGTTGTGCTCCGAAATCATGATAAATAGTTTTCGTTTTCTAATTTTTTATTCTAGTTGTCTTAACAGAACTTTTGTGACCCAGACTTATTAATATAATAATAAACAATCTCAAGAAACACAAATCTGATCAAAGTTTTACATAGAACCTGCTTCTATACATTAATCTAACCCACTGAGACTGTCTTTAAAGAATTACAAAATCTTAACACAAAGAAAATGAAAAGCAAACCAATCAAGTCTATCTCACCTGTAAGTTGACGTGGCAGAAACCAGAAACGAATGTGCCACGTAAGAAAGAGGGGCATGTTATATAAAGAAACAGAGATGCATGAACACAAACAAAAAGGCACAAACACACTACTCTACACTAAAACAACCACAATCCTACATACGCAACCTCATATATATACATGTTACAATAATGATAATAAATTTTTCATCAATTGTTCTGAGGCCAAAGTGTATATAGTGTTCCGTAAATACCTGGTACAATATGGTTACAGGTTTGTTGTATAGGGGGCATGTTGGGAGAGAGTTTTTCATGTTTAATTTTGTCTTTAGGGCATATTCCATAGGGCTGAGGAGTGTTAGGCTTCGTTCACATGGAAAGTCTATTTTCTAAAAATCTATTTTCTATTTGCGGTATCTTGTGATCACGGCCTGTGCCCTGAATATCCCGCGGCGTAATTACTGGCAGCGCGAGCCAGTTACTTCCAAAGCTGTAATTAATTCGCGGCTGCGCTTGGAGTGATCATAAGATACCGCGAATAGAAAATAGATTTTTAGAAAATAGACTTTCTATGTGAACGGAGTCTTAGTGTATCTGCCTGTTTCAGTGTGGAGTTTATTCCCCACTGGTGCCAAAACGACTTAGGCTTTTTCTTTTTTCATCATTGTGAACAGTGTCCAGATAGTTCCTGATACCTTCACTCCACGAGAGGTTATCATCTTTAACATTTAATTTAAAATTGACTGCAAATTGATTTGGGCAACTTTTGCCTCACATTTTCTGTGTCTGAATTAAAAAATTCTTTCTTCAATTTCAATTTTTCTTCTTCAATCTCCACCAGTCTCTTCAAACATGAAAGTTTCTCATTCTCCACATCTATCACCATGTCCATTCTGGAGTCCTCTGAAAAATATGATATACATCATAAAATAGAAAAATATCAGCTGTGACACCTTTTGCTTATAGAATGCATATCAGTTTGTGTGTATATTAATTTGTGTGCTTCTTTGATGATTATTGAGAAGTAATATTAAAAAAAATTCTTACTTGTCTTCTTTGATGCCTTTCTTGGTTGTTCCTGTATTTTATCTGGGCCTTCTGAAAAAGACAGGAATTAACACAAGACATCTATTTGGTAACAAAAAAATAATGTTAAAAAGTTGGTGATAAAAATTTCCGGTGCAGGTTTACTTCAGGTGTTTTAGGATAGCTACTGTTGGGCATTTTACCTCGGTTGAGGTGTCTTTCTTCTTCTTTGCTTTCATAGTCAGGAGCAGAGTTAGGTCTCGTTCCAGGATGTCAGGGTTGGCATTGAACGTTGGTCGGGTGCTGGAGCTTGTAAGTTCCATGTGCCTTGAAAAAAATCTTAAGCTTTGGCTTCCCAGGCCAAAGCCTCCTGGAGAAAGATGGAAAAAAAGGGGAAATAGTTTCTGAGTCACATTTACATTCATATGAGTACTTTAAACAATTTTGACAATCACCACTGTTACCACTAACTATATATAGTCAGTGACGTAACTCAGTGCTGTTTTAGTCAACTCTATGTTCCCTTTATTTGCTCTAAAGCAAGCATCACATTCAGAATAGCAGCACATATTGCTATGCACTGAGCAAAGCGTTTTTGCATTTTGTCTCTAGTGTTTTTTGTTTTTTCTGGAAACACTTGACCAGAAAATGGTGCTTTTTCTATTTGTTTTCTCAGAGCTTTAGTAAAGTGTTGTGTGTCACATGCAGCTGGGCTCGGCTGTCCCCATCAGTGGTTAAGCTTGTCTCCAATGCTGTCTTCTTCTCGTAGATTGGCTGTGCAGACTCCACTGTGCTCTGGACAAGAGACATCTTCCCCTTTACTCCANTTGAAGATGTAAATGTCCAGCTGTTCCAAAGGTGTGCTAGTCAGAAGGTTCACTTGCATGAGGTTTCATTGGTTCAGAGGTTGTATAGTCTGAGAGTAGGAATTGTGTAGGGGAGTCAGGGGCTAGTTGGCCCACTTAGACACTTTTGGTCTTGTAGAGACAACTAGGAATGAGTTATAAATGCTATAAATGCAATGTCATAATTTTTTTAAAATAATTCCAGGTGGAACACAATTAAACAAAAACCACATGTGACGTCAGGGGGGCTGGGGCAAGTTGACTCCCTACCCTAATAAATACAGTTTTTATTCCGCGTTAATGACATTAAATGCACTTTTACACATTCTTATTATATTAAGTTGAATTTTTAGAGTCTTTGCTGAATCAGTAGTTCAAATGAGGCAGACTTATTAAGGTTTCTGTGTGTTATATCATTACTTTGCATACGTAGAAAAATATAACAGGAGCCCAAATATTTTTGATTCAAACATTTTTATTTTGAAATAAACAAATAATGGTATAAAACATGTTTTTTATGAATGCTAACAAATAATTAACTCTTGTTATAAAAGTAAGTAACAATTTCAACCTTTAACTGGTATTAAATGCACAACTTAGGGACCATTCCCACAGATATTTGGATTGATCTTTCTCCCTGGGGAGTCTCACTAAATTGCTATCAAACTGACTGGTTTAAACATCTGTCACTCCTTGTAAAACTGTTAGGGGGTAATTATCTTTACCCCTAGCTGATTCGGTAGGCGTGACAGACATTTGAACCTCTTGAGCTGATAGCAATTTAGCATGAACCCCCAGGGAGTTAGGTCGATCCAGATGGATCGATCTAAGTATGGGAACCCAGTCCTAAATGTTGACTTTGTTTTAATATCAGATTCATAATATTATCAAATGTAGTTTCGGCCTTCTGGTTTGCGTTCTTCATTTGACCAATTCAAACTACAAATACATCAATTTAAAAGAAACAAATAATGGTTTAAAACTACTTTTCAAACATATAATAAACTCTTGTTTCTAAAGAAACTAACAAATTCAATCTTAAATTGGTATTCAATTCTCAAACCCTTTACTTTGTTTGAACTGTGAGCTTCAGCTCATTGCTTTTAACATTCAAACAACAGGTGCACAATTATCACAAATGTATTTTTGGTTTCCTGGTGTGCGTCGCTCTTCATGTATACGTAGCCAATTCAAACAACAAATTCTCTTATTTCAAACAGACTAACATGAATAATGGTATTAATGGGTTTTTAACAAATAATAGCAAATAAACACGTTTCAATGGTAATTTACAATATCAACCTTATACTGGTATTAGTTTCATAAATCCTTGTCTTTGTTTTAACAAAAAAGATTCACAGTTATCACATATGTAGTTTTGGTCTCGTGGTGTGCATTCTTCATGTGACCAATTCAAACAACGGATACATCTAACCCATGTTTCAGCAGCTTTACTATTAGTAAATGGTTCTCCACATACTAAACATTCAGCATCTTGCTCTTGCTACTTGATTCTCCTTTTAACTGGTTTTGTACGTCTCTTCATTCTTTTGGTTTTGAGTTCAGTCTCAGTGGCCAGTTTGTGCAATTTGTGGAAACAGTGTGGAGGGAAAAAAAGCATGACTATGCCATTTTCTCTTGCTAGATTAAGTGCTGAGACACCTAGATGGGATTCATGGTTATCTAAGAGTAATGAAATGATGCATAATATTCAAAAAATTTTCTTCTGTCATCCAGCCAGATCTGTGGGCCGCTCCTGAAGAACCATTCGGGGCCCCTCTCAGAAAATGCCTGAAAATTAACTCTGGGGAATATAAAAAATGGTGGTATGGATTGGCCCCCTGCATTTACTGCTGCAGTTAA